TAAGACACTGTCTTATATTTTGTTGGCTCAAAAAAACACGCTAGGTCTTATTTTCGGGGTAGGTCTTGTTTTTTTTTTTTTTTTTTAATGTACAACAATCCAAAGTTAACGCAAATCCAAATTAAATAATTCAAAATGGCAATGTTAAGAATAGGGTGATCAGGGCAATCAGGGGTGCCGTACCTTTTCAAGAGTAATTTGGTAACCAATCGCTGGCCAGAATGAGCAAAATGCGCTTTCACTATCGATTCCTCACAGGCGGAGTGCATTTGGTATCACTCCACCTGTGACAGGAGCCGGCGCTATAGAGGAAGCATCGGCTTATGCGGCTCTGCTCCATCCGCTTCCGCCTCGCTTCCTCTAGAGCTGGCTTCGCTGGCACCACTAATTCTCTCCCGCGGCTCTTCAAGTTCCCCCTTATGCAACCACCAGCCCTGGGAATGGTCACAACTAGGTCTTATTTTCGGGGTAGGTCTTATATTTTAGCAACTCCCAAAAATAGTACTAGGTCTTATTTTCAGGGAAACAGGGTACTTGAATGCCCTTAGTCTATCTACAGTTTAAGTTTAAAGCTATAGCTTGTACGTCTGCATGTTTCAACAAATGGCAACTGTTTACTTTCCTTAAAGGGTCCCATGGTGGGAGTTCCTCACTACATTTCTGGCTATCTAACTGTGATCTAGGTCCCAATGGGCTTGGAGAAAATGCCCTCATTAATCCTTCATTAAAACAGCCCTGGATGTATAATTGGTTAATATGTTCTAGGTAGTAATAATATTAATACTAATAATCAAAGATTTAGAATAACATTAATTTTAAGTTATAGTTTTGCTATCCTACTGGCTATTATAGTTTAGTGGACAGCACACAAACTTAATGGTAAGTTACTTTTCCATCCTTTTATGTTTTAACTTGACTAGAAAATCTAATACAGTACTCTACAGAAGTAATATTATCTGCAAAAAATGATCACCATAGCTAAACTGTTTAAACCATTCCTTTATATCAACCATACTATATGACAATGACTGGCACAATGTCATAGTCAAAACTTATGAACCGCTCCAGGCAACAGAAAAATGACTGCATCCATAACAGCTCTGAGTCATATGTGACATACATCGCTGACACACAGACCAGCAACCTCAAAACAGAAACTGTTGCATGTATTTTTAGAATCAACCTTTTTATTATGTGCAAATGACTTCTATAAATCAATACAAAATGCAAATCATTACATTTCATTTCTTCAAATGAAATTAGCGGGCAGTCTAAGAGCTTGCTCAAATGTCCATTATGACATTCTTAAATAAATCATGCACTGTGATTTCCAAAGCTCATTCCAGTTATTATTCATTTCTTAGAATTTTAAAAGCTAAACTGTTTTCTGAAGGCTACAATTCAGTATTGAAAATGTATACAATGAAAAACTAAGAATGAAAAATAAGACTCTCATAAATGCTGAAAACACATTTGGCTCAATTAAAGAATATTTATGTTAGATTACATGCTTTTCTTTGACCTCTGCATTTGAATTATGTTATCAAATACAAGCTCCTTTAGCTTATTAGCTAATGGTATCCAGAAAGTGCTGTGGCAGTGTCATAGCAAAGCTTTCTGTATACAGATTTCAAACTGAGTTTGATGCCCAGTATATTTATAATACTTTAAAAGGTCAACTGTGCCCAGAACTACTGCAGGGAGATTGTACCACTTTAATTTCTGAGACCTTGGTACTTGCAGAAAATTGATTTATTAATAAAGTAAAACTAAAGTCCCACTATTAAAAATGCTAGGCACAAGAGCTTTTTCGGTAGAAGAGGCATGCAAAGCCTTTTGCCAAAAAAACTACCCCATTATCCTGGTGATTTTTTATTTTCTATGCAAACTGAACATTGCATGCACCCTGCAGTGTACATCCTGGCTCATTCTTGGCATGCCAAAAATAGAACAGGCTGTAAAGGACAATCATCAGTGGCTGTCCAATGATTGAAGATGAATGCTGAGGAACCCTGAAGAAGTAGTAAGTAATATGGTGGCAGCAGGGTAAGGAGTGGCAATTGAAGTCTTGACCTATCTGTGCTGGAGGAAGGCATAATAGGAGATAAGTGCAGCTATGCCATACATACTAGCACCTTATTGGAAGAGCTCCCACGGCCCCACAACACTTACACTTTAGTAATAAAGTGAATGAGGACTGTATAGGTGTGCTCACCAAATGTTTCCCTCCTGCAACTCAAATATTGATAAAATTACTGAATTTTATTGATATACAGATTTTTCAATCTAAATGTTTTTTTGTATCAGTGTACATGTTAAACCAACATCCAAACCTCCACCCCAGGCCCATCAATTCCTATTATATCATACTGTTTACTACACCTAGACTAAATAATCACTTGGGTCCAGAACATAATTCAAATGGGCGCACCATGATGGGGGTACCATGATGGGCGTGAAACAATGTCAAAATATTTAATGGACTGCTGGTTCACTTCTTCTGGAGAACACGAGAAGGTATGTATATGTATAGTATTGCGTTGATCCAATGGTTATTTATTTAAAAACATTACCACCTATGTCTACAGTTCCTATCTATTGTTAGGATGGACAGAGGGAGCCCAGGAGATTCCCAGGAAAATAAGTATCCCCCATCTTATATGTTTGTGGGGGGGGGGAGGGGGTTGTACAATCTAGTTTGATATCTATAAACCAATCTAGAAACCATCATGCAGAGTGACATTTACTGTGTTGAGCACAAAGATCCCTCAGTGTCAGAGGGAACAAAAAAAACAGCAAAATATAGTGTGGGGTAGACTGTAGGATGTTAACTGTTGAATTAGGCTCACCCAGATTATTTGGGTACCAAACAATTGTCAGGAAGCCCCCACAGAATCCATAGAAAGTAGTCAGATTTAACAATTGAAATCAAAGACCAATTCAGTGGAGTCCTATCAAGTAGAGAACAATAGAGATGAATAGCACGCATAGGGGGTATTAAAATGTCTATATAAATAATCACTGGATCAATAAGATACTATAAATATGCTTATCTTCTCACATTACCCTGAAGAAGTGGATCGGCGGTCCACAAAATGTGTCAGGATTGCTTCACACCCATCATAGTACCAAATGCATGAATTCTGTTTTGGAGTAAAATAACTATTTTGTCTGTATATTGTTAAACAGTATGAAAAAAAAAGGAATTTAAGGGCCCGAGCTGCAGATTTGGATGTTGGTTTAAAATGACACGTATAGCATTTTTTTTTTAGATTTTAGATTTTGTATATTAATAAAATTGTGCCATTTTACCAATATTTGCATTGCAAGACGGTACTGTTGTATCTTAAATGTCCCAGTCTATTTCCTGTTTGTTATTCCGTTAGGGAATCCATATTTTTAATCACTTTACAACTATAATCAAAGAAGAGCAAAAACAATTACAACAATATTATCACACGTCACACATGAAAAGGTCCCACTACGCAGTCAATATTTTGTTATTTAAGGCTCTGTTGCCCTTAAAAAATAACAAATTCAAATTATTGACATTTATTGTAGTACAGGCTTCAGAAGTACATTTCCAGTTAATAATAAAATGAAGTAGATTCATGCATGGAATAAAGTGCCCTCAAGAAGGCAAACATTTGCAGTAGTTTAAGTGTATGTAGCTAATTACTGCAGTAAAGAAATTAATGTCAGCACTGAATAGCAGAATCCGAACATCAGATTTAAAAAAAGCCTGTTTGCACCACATGACTTTGGGCATCTGATATTTTTTTCACTGCAGCTTTCATATTAAACATATGGCAGTGTGGATGCACACAACTTTCTTTCAGTAGTTACCAATGATGTCATGAATATGCAGAGACAAACTGGTCTGGCCCGCAGATTTTCACTATGTTCTTTTTCTTTAATTTAGCCTGGAATAATCAATGTATTGACTTCTACAGTCAGCTCTCAGAAAGCAAACAACTGCTCATTGGTAAGCACAGCTTACCTATTTGTTGGATCACAATAAACTGATTGGGTTCCACTTCCTATACAATGGCTTGGCATACACAATGGTGCACTTTAAAGTTTAAGTGTAGGCAAACAGCTATATTCACAGCTGATGTACAAGTAAGAATGAACAGTGCTACATGCTATAAAAGGAGTTATTTTCTTCAGCTAGTTTTCTAATCCAGATGCCCTTGCAAGAAACCATAGCAGATCCTGACCACTCTTTACAACAGAACATAGTCAAGGGCTGCCATTGCTTATGCTTGGATAAGGAAGGAGTAGCAACACAATGAGCTCTCTCCTCCTTTCTGCCAACTCCTCAGGTACTGCAATAAACCTGATGCTGCTTTGTTTCCCAGTTTGAATACTACTTTTGTGGGAATTACAAAAGGCCAATATAAAGATAACGTACTATACAAAAATACCTTAAAAGATAATCCCCAGGGTTCCCCGGACAGCAGACTTCGGTAAGTAAAACATGCTTCAGAAGGTTTTCAGAATTTTTGTCAGATAATGGGGTTTAAGGATTTTTAATGAATACATAACTAAGTAAGATGTTATGGTTTTATGTTTGTCTACACTTTAAGAAAGAGCTGAATTTTAATAGTATGAAACAAATATTTTTACAGGGAAGAAACCCAATTATGCTAAAATAAAGCCAATTTCTCTCTGCATGTCAATTCATACACTATAGGTAACATTATCAAACTTTTGAAAAAATGAATATATATTGCTTCATTACATGTATTAGCAACTTAAAAAAAGAATTTGATACTTGTGGCTTCTTAATTAAAGACATAAAGCTTCCACAAGCCCTATTTTTAAGATTAACACTTTTCAGTTCATTACAGTGAAAGACAAGTTGTTGGAAAAATAAATCTAAGGTGACGTTTGTTTATTACAGCGGTAATCATAAAGCAATCAAGTTTATTTTCATTCCTTATGAAATATCACATGCATGTTTCTACACATGCATTAAAAGTCCTCTTTCATCTTACCCTCATCCCTTCAAACCGTGAAAGGGCTCTCAGTGGTCTCAAGGCCCTTAATGTCCTTAGGGACTTAATAGCCCCTAGTTCAGAGTATCCCAAGGCGTTAGCTACTAAGCTAACAAGAGAGACCTATATAAGAAAACAAAAGCAACAATTCTAATATTTCTGCCACAACAACATGTATAAGGTATCCTTTGGTTTGTCAAGGGGAAACAACCCTTTCTTAATCCTTCAATGTAAGCAATCCAGCTGAAAAAAAGTCTAATTAGAAAGGACAAAGTATATGAGATCCACATGATGATGGAGACCTGTTGACACTACGGAGCACACACTCTCAAGGTCTTACCCGCTCTCACAATTTGCTGGAGCTCCAGTTGGTTTTGATGAGCAAAATTAAACCTGACAATAAAAACGAGCCTACAACAAAGAAAACAAGTGAATATGTGCTATGTGACAACCTAGGTCTTAGCCTTACCCTGATGCCTTCAAATCTTGATAATGCACGTAGAGGTCTCAGTGCTCTCAACGTTCTTAGAGATTTAATAGCGGCTAGTTGATCATACCCAAGGGCCACAGCCAAAAGAGATATGATAGAAATCTGTTCAGAACCAACAGCATGTTTAATTAATAGATGAGAAATCTGTAAATACTAACAGTGACTAACTTTCGCTTTGAAAGAGAAGTTCATTATTCCATTCGTCTCTGAATTGTTTGCTTGGATAGTAACCAAAAAAATAGAGAAATATTGAAGGTAAGCTTTTTCTTACAGAAAACTCAGTTTACAGCAGAGTGACAAGGCAACAAAACATCCAATTGAACAGTGAATGTGCTGCTGACTTCTGCCAACTTGTTAAGCTGTGTAAAAGGAGGTGAGGTATGGAATACACCGGCCTATGGAGCTAGTGGGGAGATTGTTTAATTATATATGAAATTACTACTATTAATGCTTTTAATTGCTACACTGAATTCTAAAAAAACATTGTAGAAAATGGTTTGTGAACATCCAGCTTTAAATGTGGAATTTTCCTCTAAGACTGTCAGAAGAACAACATTTTGATGACAGGGAGGTCAAGTTTGATGGACATACTCTGTAAACGGTTTCATGATTCATGGTCATGCATGCTGAAGCATCAAGCTGTGATCACCCAAATGCAACTGAATCCCATTTTCATTACAGTGTGTTGACGCACTTTGGGTTACACTCAAAGCAGTTTAAGGCAAACCTTTATAATATCTTAGTAGTTAGCACATCTCATTAACACTCTTGCATCTCTAGCTTGGCTGTTGTGTAGGAATCGTTCAATGTAATTGCTGCTTCCGCTAAATGAGTCAAATGTTCTCTATAAACTCTAACAAAGCACAGAAAAGAAAATGTGAGTTGCTTGCAAAGTGCATTATCTATTTAGAGCATTATTTACTTAAGTGGATTGTGAAACATATTGTCACAATGCTGAACAATACACATTCTCTCTGCATTCTTTCTGCATTCTTTCATTAACAAAGAACTCCATTCTAAACAAAAATGTTTTCATAGTTTCGAATGGCTACGCTGTTTGGACCTCTAAAAATCACTGTGGCTCAATGGTTAGCACTTCTGCTTTGCAGCACTGAGGTCCCCGGTTTAACTCCACATAGGGCCTTGCATTAGGGTTGCCCTAAAATGTTGGCATACGAAACATCTCCGCCAAAAATGGAATGGGCAAAATGCCGACAGTACCAAAACGGGCGAAAATGCGGTGCATCCCTAGCTTTTTCCTCCCTACTGGGCGCCGTTCTGTGTCCACACTGCTCTCCCCCTGTCTGTGTTGGCAGAAGCAGTGGGGATCAGAGGGGACACAGAGCGGATCCAGGTGCCAGGACCCAGCGAGGATGAGAGAAGCTGTCAGGAGGCCGAGCGGGGTGGAGACAGCTATCAGCTGTCACAGGAGGCTGAGCTCTCCTCCAGGCTGCACAGTCAAGATGTGCAAACACTCAGCAAACGGTAGTGATCGCTGAGTGTTTGTAAATATTTGAGGGCATAGTAAGGTTACTGTATCCCCAGTTATCAATAAACAGGATATGTTATACATCACTTCCTGTTCATTCATGATTGTGGACATAGTAACTGATACTATCTCCTAAATTTATGAATGGACAGGAACACTTAGAGGGCATTTCACAAAGCTGCGGATCCTGAGTCTATTCTCGGGAGGGGCACTGCCAGAAAATAAAGTTTTGCTTACAGAACGGTTAATATTTTATTTAAGACGGTTTCCCGGCCAACCACAATTAAGCCGGCCAAACAACATGCAGCCGGCTTCCCTGGCAATCAGGAAGCCGGGCGGCATGTCATTACCCGCTACCGGCTTCCTGATTACCCGGGAAGCCTGCTCCATGCCAGTGGAAGCAGCGGTATTGGTATTCAGTATCGGCGAGTACCAAAAGCAAAATATCGGTACTCGTACTTGATATCGAAAAACCGGCTATTTTTTTGTATTGTGACAAGTAGATTGTCATGAAGGATTCGGCCAACGCTTTTATAATGACAGATCAGTTGCCGCACGGGATGTGATCGGCCGCACAGGATTGCAAGGTACATTATGCTTGCGGTCCGGTGCAAACAAAATAGTGCTTGCAGCATTTTGTTCGCACCGGACTGGACCACAGGTATAATGTGCCTTGTAATCGCATGCAGCGGATCACATTGTGGCAGAAGGGCATGGCTACGGTGCCATTCACTCCAATGGACCGCCACGCCCCCTCCTGCCCCACAAAAAAGTGAGCCGGCCGCAATGCGAGGCAGTGCATTCTGGCCAGAATCGTGCCTGAACACATAGCATCTGGTGTGAACGAGGCCTAAATTCTTCCATGTGTCTGACTGTTGGATGCATAAGGATGCTATTAATGGATTTTTAGCCACATAAATGGGATATTTTTTTTAAAGGAGCTGTGTTAGGTGACCTTTCTGTATGCAAACTGTAACTAATTAACCAGCCTAATTCTGTACCTGTTGGTATTAGGGATACTTTCCTTTACTGTGATTTTGCAAATTTTTTTAGCATCTTATATGTAAGTTGATATTGGTTTAAATTGTACCTATAACTTCAGGCAATAAACTGATACATCTTGGAGGTAACTAGAAAACCTTCCTGCTTTTGCAGCACTCTCCAAGGGGAAGGTGCCACACAACTTTTGTTTCCTAGTAATTGCACTGTTGTATGTGTCAAATAATTGTTTCCTTTTTTCGCAGGATTAATGGAAAATGTCACTCAGACTTTGTCTTTGGAAGGCTATGGGGAGATCGCACAATTCAGTGACAAATAATAATATCTCTATATACTTTGCATGGCCAGGTTGACAGGATTGATTACTTGCATATTTTTATAAATGTTTTCTACTAATTTCTTTTAATATACCATTCTTATTTTATTGCAAGATTTTTCTTACACAAGAAAATACTAAAAGGTCTATTCACTAAAAGGTGAAGAGTTTGAAGAAGGCAGACTCACTTTCCAGTTCAGCTATGTTATCCTAGATTGTTCACTTCTTCTGTCTTCTCCAAACCCTCCACCCTTTAGTGAATAGACCTTTAAATATTTATTGCCCAGAGTGGTAACAGATCAAGAAGCTATTCTCAGTAACGCGGTACATCTTTTTCAGATTCAATACCTGTCTCCCAAAAACAAGTATAAAATGCTAATTTTGTCCTGCATATTAAAATCAATTCTATAATTTTCTGAGCATCACTATTAATAGAAGACTGAATATTAATTGCATCTTAACTGCTGTTGACTTCAGTAAGAAGCTTTGGTCACCTTAAATCCCACATGAGAAGAAAAGTGACATCAAAAGGATCTCTAGGAAAACCTCTTTGAACAGTAATCGTTAAAAAAGCCTCTGATTTTCAAAGACCATACTTAGGAAAAAAAGACCCGCAGTGGCATGTCTGGCATCATGTGTCTTTGTGTGGGGGATTGTATGCACATATTTTTTAGTATGTATTAAAATGGCGCTAAACTCAGGAGTTATATCTTTAACATGCATTTAATTCCCTTATCTATTAATACAAATGTATCTTATTTATGTATCACTCAGCTGTAGATCCTCAAATCATCTCTGAATTGGTGCTGACATTGTCCTTCCTTCTGCAGCGTGACACTGTCCTTCCTTCTGGAGGGTGGCTACTTTTCTTCCCCATGGTCCCTGTTTGTGTTGTAAAGTAGCCACCGCTCCAAGCTTTCTCCTGTGATGAAATACAATCTCAGGTTAAGTTCACTAATTTGTATTGAGATTGTAGTCCATCACAGGAGCGAGCTTGGATCGGTGGCTACTTTACAACACACACAGGGACCATGGGGAACAAAAGTAGCCACCCTCCAGAAGGAAGGACAGTGTCACGCTGCAGAAGGAAGGACAATGTCAGCACCAATTCAGAGAGGATTTGAGGATCTACAGCTGAGTGATACACACATAAAATACATGTGTCTTAATAGTTAGGGCACTTGCACGTATTTTTAAGATTTAACTTCTGAGTTTAGTGTCACTTAAATCAAGGTGCTCTTTTACATGATTTAAATATATTTGTTTGTATGTATGGGAATTGCAGCTTTTGCTGATTTAACCCGGAAGACCATAGCTATAGCATTGTTAATCAAATGCCATAACAGTAAGTCTCATTCTTTTCATTGACATGCCTGCTATTCTGCCCTGGATAATAACATACTATGGGACCTGCTCAGTTAACCCAAATTATCATAGGACAAATCTTTTCTCTACATCTTAATATGGTGTTTAGCATTACACATTTTCTTCTAAATCCATCAGCTAGGTCCTATTTCCTGGACTAACATAACATTCCTCCACTCCTTCGATTCCTTTCTAATCAACAGTGGGGACTGGTTTCATTGATGTTTGCCATTATTAGCCCACTTAAGGCTTGGCATAAAAAAAATGGTTCCTAAATAGAATTATCATATTTTATGGTTGAAAAGCAGTGCCAGGGTTCACCAGGAGGTTGCACAGCCGGTGAGCTCTAGGCATTATAGGTCGGTAGGTATATGGGAACCCTTTGTATTATTGCACACCGTAAACACAAAGGGCAAACTGATACTGACCAGTATGGGGACTGAACTGCTAGTATGATGCCATAC